CATTTTGTGCGCTCTTGCATCTCGGGCTTGCATAAAGTGGCTAGACACAGCCCCTGGCCTTCAGTTTGGCAAAGGTTGAGGTTGCTCAGACCACTGCAGGGATGCCTGTCCCTTGCGAGTCTGGAAATGAATGGGGAAAGTCCGGCTCTCACCTGGATCAGAAGAGGGCCCTGCAGATGCACCCGCAAGCTGGCTGATCCTTGGGATAGCGTGCCCCATGGTGCCCTCCAAACCAGACCGATCATGGATTCCTCCCCAGAGGAGACGTGGCTGCTGCCTCCTCTTGGGGGGAGAGGGGGGAATACTCTCTCCGTCTTCCTTTAATGAGGGACACTTGCTCAAGATAAACTGATCAAAATAAATCAGTAAAAGAAGACATATCAGGACACAGAAGTGCAAAATGACATGCTAGAAGCCTCCACCTGAAGGTACCCTGCCCGCCCCCCCCATTCCCCACAATAGGACTACAAGCACCAGATGCAGAAGTTTTGTCTGAAGCGGAAGTGACGTGCCAGCGTTCACGAAGAGCAAAGATGTTCTTAAAAACCCACTGATGCACCAAACTCTCCATGCCCTATCTGGAGAGATTCCATGAACTCTCCCATTTACTATAGGAATTCCTTTTGGCTCGTGTCAGCTACAGCTGGCTTATCATCAATCCTGAAGCCGCCGTCACTGAGGTCTACCAAGGACAATTATCTGAAGTCCGGAAAATCCACACACAGAGAAGACTGGAAGTCCCAGGCCGACACTTGGGCCTGACCTCAGTGTAGCTGACACCTGGGTCTGACCTCATTGTAGTCACACCCGGCCCCACTAGGATTTCCACGGCGCTCTGTGGAAGGTGGAATACAGTTTGCTCACACTTCAGTTCCTCACACTTCGATGCTCCTCAAAAAGGTCTTCAGTGGACACGAAGCTGCTGAAGCCTCGGCTGTGACCGAGGTGGGGAGCGGGACACAGCGACGAAACCCACGAGACTGATGCTAAGGCCAGCTTTAAAGCCAGGCCGCCACATCAGAGGACTTGACGAGCCATAGAACTCTGTGTCTGTTCAGACTGCATGTGTTTCTCTGGTATACTGATGCCTTCTTATTTGGGGGTGCATTTGTTCCCTGAAGTGAAGATTCCCCTGAAAATTGCAAGGCCCATATTATAATCTACTTCTCTAGAAACTACCAGAAGTAGGATTACTGGCATCCTCCACTGAGTAGCTCTTTGTATCTTTAAATTGTTTTTAATCGTACACTTTACAAATACACTTTATTTGGGAAACAGGAAAAAGGCTCATTTTGGCAAGACTTACCCGTAGAAGGAAGCCCCGAAGAATAAAATGTCAGGGATTAACAATTTCTAGAAATAAGTCCACAAGAGTATTACCTTAGAAGAAAGATGTAACTGAATCATGGTTTCGCTACCTGCCACGACTGCTATTTGAGGCCAGCTAGTTCTTTGTCGCGGGGGCCTATTCTGGGCATGGGAGGGTGGTTAGCAGCCTCCCTAGCCTCTACCCACTCGTCCCCTTCTCCCTCAGTTGTGACAACCAAAGTATTTCCAGACGAATGTCCCCTGTGGGACAAAATTGCCCCTTGCTGAGACTCGCTGAACCACATCTCTTTCATGAATGTGATTATCTGGTGTAATATTCTATTCGTGTTCTACTTCGAGAGAGAGCATAGGGCCATAGAAATTTCATTCCTTGATGTTATTTTTACCTTTTTTTTTAATAAGAAAAAGATTATAAACTTTGGTGGGGGGAGGGAAGACACTTAGGTCTGTTTTGAGTTCAGAGCCTCTACCATTAGGCTGGGAAATGTACAAGCGGGCCATTCTACCCTGTGTTTCTGGAAAGGCTCACGAGGAAAGGACATTTGCAAAGTATTTTTCACAAGCGGCTTTGTGAGCAGCTAAAACAATGAAAGCCCCAGATACTGTTAAGAGGATGGGCAGGTCTTAGGGATTAATCCGGGAACCGCGAAAGGAGAGATGCAATTACTCTTTTAGAAAACTAACTTCTGTCTGTGGACACCTCGTAGATTTCATGACTGCCATGCAGGGCGCTGTACAAAACTGCTAACAAACTCACTCCTTCCTTCCAGGAGCGTGGAGCCCAATCATGGGATTGAGATCACGCACGGGTCTTTCCGTGTCCCACCCTCCTCCTTTGCTGACTGCCGATTTGTTCATTGGAAGGTGCACCCCAATGTTCACTTTGGACAGCCTGCTCTGTCTGAGGGCAGAATTTGAGATGATTCTTCAGACCCTCCACAAAGTCAGGAGCAGGAGAAGGGCACAGTTTCTATACTTTCAAAGCCACTAAAAGGTGTTTTATCAGCTCTACATTAGTGGTTAGACCTTTCTTACTCCATCAGAGTAGATCATTGGTATCTGTGTCTAATGTTTCCTAATTACTCTGTTACTGATGGTAGGGAGAAAAAAATCCTGGATATGAAGCACCTCCCTTGCTAACTATAATCTCTAATACAATGGCATCCACTTTGGCAATGCCAATATGCAGAACAAGGTCATTCTCTGAGGTGGTATAAAAAAAAAAAATCCAGTGTGATAGTTACATCCCACTGGACTTTGTAGCTTTCCTTGACTGGCACTTGACAAAGATAACCCTGAGGTGAAGTAAATGTAGCTTTTGAAGAAGACACACCCAGTCCTCGGGGCTGAGCCAGCCTAGAGCAGCCTTTCTTGCCAAGTAAGCATTTTTGACAAGTGCCAATCATAAATTCCAGGACAATAGGATTCAAAGGGTGATGTGTCAGGGCGCCTAGGTGGCTCAGTTGGTTAAGTGTCCAACTCTTGGTTTTGGCTTGGGTTATGATCTCACAGCCTGTGGGATCGAGCCCCGTACTGGGCTCTGCGCTGATGGCTCTAAGTCTGCTTGGGATTGTCTCTCTTCTGCCCCCCCCGCCCCCACCCCTCTCTGGCCCACTTGTGCGTACTCTCTCTCTCAAAATAAAAAAAAGTTAAAAACAACAACAAAGTGTAGCCTGTGGCTTGGTGCCTGCTGGCAAACTACTGCTGGTCCAAGACAATGTAGACAGAAAGAACAGAAGGATGGTTTAAGAAATGTATGTGTAATAATGTGATGTTTCCCCAAAGCCCCGGGACGTGACCGATGAACTCCTCTCATTGACTAGGGTACAGAACTTGGTGAGGGCCGTGTGACAGGAGCTGTATACTTGTGCACAGGAGGACCGCCTTAATTTTGATAAATTTTTTTTCATTATTTTTATTTTTGAGAGGCAGAGAGAGACAGAGATGCAAGCAGGGGAGAGGCAGAGAGGAAGACCCAGAATCCGAAGCAGGCCCCAAGCTCTGAGCTTTAAGCATAGAGCCCGACCCGGGGCTCAAACCCAGGAAACGCGAGATCATGACCTGAGCCAAAGTCAGGCGCTTAACTGACTGAGCCACCCAGGTGCCCCAGGAGGACTGCTTTGCACTTATATCATTTTAAGATTTGTCAGCTATAATCCAACATAGGTGTTATAATCATTTTGACTTTTAATTAAGACTTTTTTTTAATGTTTATTTTTGAAAGAGAGAAAAGCAGAGTATGAGCAGGGGAGAGGCAGAGAGAGGGAGACATAGAATCTGAAGCTGGCTCCAGGCTCTGAGCTGTCAGCATAGAGCCCGACGCGGGGCTCGAACTCACGAACCGTGAGATCGTGATCTGAGCTGAAGTCAGACACCTAACCGACTGAGCCACTCAGGTGCCATTCTCTAATGAGTTTTTTAAAACAAAACATAGAAGTCATTTGGATATATCTTATCCCCTGCAAGTAATGTCATAAACCCAAATTATTTTAGATAAATTAACAAGAAGTAAACACATGTGTGTAATGACAAAATGCTATAAGCATAGTAGGGATTCTTTATATTGGTCACCTGTACACTTTACTTTCAATGAATGTGTACTGGTTTTAAAATTTTTTTCCTGTTTCATTTATTCTAATGATGGTTAATATAATGCAGGTTGATTCTGTGTCTTTAATTCAGGAAACTGGGTATGTATTATGTCTGTTTTTAATTTCATTTTTCTAGTAAATCATTTTTATAGTATTTTACAAAAATATCAGTCTACTATAGACAGGAAATTTTTAAATTTTTTTAAATTTTTTTTTAAATTTTTAAAATTTAAACTGATCTTTCATTATAGAGGATTTGAGAGACAAATTGCTTAATATGACATCTTCCCACAACTCTCCTCTGTGCCCTTTTTAATCTAAGTTTTTATCCCTTTGTTCCTAGGCACCTCCCCTCAAACTAGCCCCCACCTCAAGGGATATTTACCTGTTGTCAGGACTCTTTTATAGGTAAAAAGGCTACTTAAGGCTCTGAGAAATTAAGCTGTAATTAACAAAAAGCCTATATTGGTAGAGCTGATTATTGGAATCAGCAAATCTCACTGCTGGATTTAGAGGAAATACAGCTCAGTATCTCACCCAAATTTGGGAGTTGGTTCTAGAAAATACTGATTACAACAACAACGACAACAAAGTCCCACAGGATTTAGGTTTTATGCTGAGAGAACAGGCTCTGGGGTCAGTCTGCATACAGTCAAGCCCCCGATTCTGCTCCAACCTGCTGTAAGACCTTGGGCAAAGTACTTCTCTGATAGACTGTAGCCATAGTCTTTTCATTTGTAAAGTGAGGCTAATAACAATATCCACCATGCAAAACCCCTCCACTTTCTGAGACGGGAGTCACTAATTGTTAGCTCTTGTCACCCTTACTATGCAAAGCATCTTCACAGCGGCTATCAAAGTCCACCTCTGCCACAGGGTATGAGATAGCAGGGAAAACCTCCTTATCAGAATTTCAGAAGTGAGGAAGTAGGGCCTTGGGGAAATAAATGACCAACTCAAAACCAGAAGCAGAGAGACTTCTCATTTCCAAAACCATGCTTTTTGCACCATGGGGCTCACTGTTCCTGGCCAGTGATTGCCTGATCCCAGGGATGGGGGTGTTGTCAGCTCAGTCCTTACCTTTAATCAAGTCTAAATTGGTCTCCTGGCAGCTTCCATCTGTTGGGTCTGGACGCGCTCTCTGAAGCAAGAGAATAAAAATGGTATAGGACACTTGGGATCCCAAAGAGAGCTTGCCAGCTCCCAACTCCACACTAAAAGGCAGGAGCTTCCCACAGAACGGGCCACAGCCCAGGCTCCCCACCACCCTCAGCTGCCCACATCTAGAGATCTGGGGCGTCCTTTTGCTGCCCACAAACTCCCCCCAATTTCCCCAGTCTCTGAGAACCTCCCATGAAGAGATCAGGGGCCAGGTGAGCTCGGCCCGTTCCGGTGCTGCCTGCGCACACTCCTGTCCCCTCCGGATTGCTTTATCGCTGTAAGGCCACTCTGGGTAAATAGAATTATTATTACTCCGCTCTCCAATCTACTGAAACAAGATTATGAAAGGATAACACCTGGCTTCACTAGCAATCCCGCTGACTCCTCAGCAATCATTTTCGACACCTCTTGGTGAAAAACCACTGATCTAAGCTTCTCTCCCCCCACCTCTCAGGACTCACCGTGGCCTGGCCTCTCTCTTTACTGAATAACCACGCTGAAGCAGACGTTCATTGCAGCTTGGGGTGGCCGCGGTTCCCTGCTTTCTACAGAACTGAACACAAGCTTGCTACGAATGACCCTAACCGCAGGTGTGAGACCAAACTTCACAACCCTCCCCAACCGCCTAGCCAACGGCCACCAGCCACCCCGCCAACTGCCACCAACCGCTGCAGGTCGACCCCGCCCACTCGGCTCAACGGCTTTGCACGGCCGGGCCGGCCCCGCCCCCGCCGGCCCTCCTTCCCGCGCTCTGGCCCCGCCCCTCTGCTGCAGGTGGACCACGCCCGCTCCCTCAGGCGCCACGCCCACGGCCAGGCAGACCCCGCCCCCGCCGGGCTCTGATATCCCAAACCACGCCCCACCCCGCGGCAGCCCCGCCCCGGCTCTCAGCTCCCGGCTGGCGCTACCTTTCTCCGCGTGGCCAGCGTACACCTGCCTGCCCGCCTAGATGGGCCCGAGAGTCGAAGCTTCCAGTGCCTGGCCACATCCTAGTCCTCGCCTCACCACGGTGGCCCCAATGGCATGTCTCTGAAGGACTCTGCCCCGTGTTTCCCCGCTCTGTGCGCTGGAAGAGAGGGAACGAGCCGAGAGCACCGCGCATCTGCCGAACCCCGCGGGGCCGCATATTCCTTCAAGAGTCCGAGGAGGCCGACCCTGGGGACCGGCGCACGACGGGCCGTGGCGTGGTCGCTGCCGTCGCGTCCGCGCAGATCGTGTGACTCCTGAGACCCGGGACCCGGTGAGCAGGCTGACGGGTCCGGGGGGCGGTGCTACCCAGGCCGCCGGCGGGGCCAGACGCCCGCCGTGGTGCCCGCCGTGGGTACCGTTCCCGCCGAGGACCATTCGGGGTCCGGCAGTACCTGGGTGCGGAGACCCCGGCGGGGCCGCGGCCGGGGGTGTGAGGGGCGAGCCGGGCTCCCGGGAGCGGGGTTGGGAGGGGAGGGCTTCATGGGAGGCTGGGCGTCCGTGGTGAAACCCGCACCGAAGCGCAGCTGCTTCCTTGGCCGAGTGCGGACAGCTCACACCCTGCAGGAGCCGCGGTGCTCGCGGTAGCAATGGTGTGTGCGGGCGAGTGGCTGGGGCAAGTGGGCGAGCCATCCGCCCCGGAGGGCACAGCTGCCCGCTGCCCAGTGGCCCAGGAGTCGCAGGACAGTGCTCATTAGATTCGCGCCATAGCCTGCGCTGGTAACTCGATGGAAGTTATTTGGGGAAAGGGAGGTGGGAATTGGAGACACCTGCCGGAAAGAACTTTCACGTTTCTCGGGACTTGTGGTGCGTTTCCTCCCTCCTCATTTCCGAGCCTTTGCACAATCTGCCCAGCAGCCTTTTGCGCCCCACCCCCACCCCCAGTGCCAGTACTTCCTGGTCATCCTTCAGATCTCAGCACTTACCATCGCTTTCTCAGAGAAGCTTACTCCGTCCCCGCAGAGAACCAGTTAGATCAGGTACTCCTTTCATAGGCCTGTATAGCACCCAGCTTAGTCCTGCCGGCCCCTGGCGTGGCTTATAAACAACAGAAAGTTATTTCTCACAGTTCTGGAGGCTGGAAGTCCCAAGATGAAGTGTCAGCATGGTTAGCGATGTCCCTCCTCTCAGTGGCAGACTTCACCTTGTATCCTCACATGGTTGAAGGAGGCAGGGGCCTGCCTGCCCACTACCCCCGACCCCGGGAGGGGGGCCTGTTTTATAAGGACCCTAGTCTCATTGAAGAGGGCTCCACCATCATGACTTAGTCACCTCCCAAAGGCCCCCCCCTCTTAATACCATCCCTTTGGGTTACTTTAAGGGTATATGTTGGAGGGACACATTCTCTGTTTTTTTTAGTGCTCTTCAAAGTTTGTCATCGTGATGTTTTGAGATTTCTTTTTAAAACTTGATGTTTCGCTTATCCTGCTCCCTACACACTGGAGAGAAAACTCTATGAGATTGGGGGAAAATAATGTGTTTTGCTTACGATGGAGTCCCAAACATCTAACACAGTGGCTGGCATGTGGTAGTTGCTCAGTAAATATTGAATGAATGAATAAATGTAGTCTTTAACACCTTGAAAGTATAATAATCTTGTGACTGCTATTTTTTTTTTCCTGTTGTTTATTATCTACATATGCTCCCTGAGAGCCATTTATGTAACACACAAAACTCCCTCAGGAGTGCCTTGATTAATGTTGCTTAAAGGAAAACATTGTCAGCTGTCATTAAGGAACTAGGTTGCTGCTTCCAAAGTTCTTAGAACAACGTTCAGATTACTCTTGCTCCCTGTTTGTTTTATTAGGTGTGAAACATTTCATGAAGGATTTTGACACTCTGAACCTTCCTCCACTGTGAGATGGAGAAACTTACATGTTTCTACTTGCTGCATGAAACCATTATGGTAAAATGAGATTAGATACATGAGAGCATTTTGAAAATCCTGGAACTCTGAACTCTAGAAATGTAAAGAAATATTTTGTCATTATTCTTTTTCAGTAATTGACCCAGGCCCCACTTCTCTACATTATGGTTTGTTTACAGGTCACATTACTCATAGAACATGAAAATGCTCTCCTTTGTTTTTTCCTTCTTTTAATTAAAAAACTTTTTTAAATGTTTATTTTTCAGAGAGAGAGAGTGAGCAAGACAAAGCGTGAGCAGGGGACGAACAGAGGGAAAGAGAGGAAATCCGAAGCAGGCTCCAGGCTCTGAGCTGTCAGCACAGAACCCGATGCGGGGTTCAGCCTGTGAACCACGAGATCATGACCTGAACTGAAATCGGACGCTTAACCAACTGAGCCATCCAGGTGCCCCTTTCTCCTTACTTTTAAATTTTGGTGTGTTTTTTTAAGTTTTTATTTTGAGAGAGAGAGAAAGGGAGGCAGCGCAAGTGGGGGAGAGGCAGAGAGGAAGGGCAAAGAGAGTGAATCCCAAGCCTGATCCCCACTGTCAGCACAGAGTCTCGGGTAAGGCTCGAACACAGAACCGGGAGTTCATTACCGCAGCCAAAATCAAGAGTGAGTCACCCAGGTGCCTGGGTTTCTCCTTAAAGGTACTTGCAGATGCACTCAAATCTTTTCATTGTCTGTGCAAGAGCTAAGCTCTTCCATGTTTTATTTGCATGCTATACTAGCATGCAATGTAATACACACTTCTTTTCTTTAATTCCCCTTGGAAGGCAAAAAACAAAAACACAGGTATAAAATGTGCCATTCTTGACTAATTGAAACATAATATTTAAAAGCAATTGCAATTGCAGAATGCTGACCAGTGTTCACCTGATAAAACCCATGAGAAACATTATAATCAGGCAAAAGTATTACATTTTCTTCCCATTTACATGATATATGCAGTACCTATAGATGTTTTCACAAGCCGCACATTTCCTTACTTTATAATCTTCTAAATGAATATATATACACACGCACACACGCACACACACACACACACAAGAATAGAATATCATACTTAGTGTGATAATTAACAGCAAGGAAATAGGGAGATGTATACAGATACGGAAACCTCTATCGAAGTTTCACTCTGGCACCTACCAGCTGTATAAGTAGGTACAAATTAGCTAATTTCTATAAATATCTCAATCTAAGGCTGCAAGGGTGAAGGATGGCCCGGTGGAAAGTGCTGATGTCCCAGAGAAGGGGCGGGGGGGTGTCTGGGATCTTCGTGGCTTAAGCAAGTTATGGCTGAGGAGTTTGTTTGCACTAGCATAGAAGAGGTTAAATCGTGGTAAGAGAAAAAGTAAAAACAGGTCACTTCTGGCTAACCATTCAGCAGGTGGGGGAAACTGGAGCCAATAGGAATCAGGCTAAGGTCTGGTAGAAATAGCTGACGCATCATAAGTTTGCACGTATAGGAGGATTAGGAGGAACTTAACTGAGGACCATGGGGGAGAAGAAGGGGGGAAATGGTGGGGGAAAGGGAGAGAGGCAAGCCATGAGAGACTCTTGAATGCTGAGAACAAACTGAGGACTCATGGGTGTGGGGGGGGGAGGGGGGAGATGGGCATGGAGGAGGGCACTTGTGGGGATGAGCACTAGGTATTATATGGAAACCAACTTGACAATAAACTATTTGTAAGAAAAAAAAAATAGCTGATGCTATTTTCCTAACAAAGACATCAGAGCTTATGGACAAGTTACAAAGGAATTTATGTGGATAGTATTACTAAATCTGTATAATTTGTGGTTGAAGAAACTATGGTACTTACAGTAGCTACAGTATGGGAGTGATCATTGGGGTAGGCTTGCGGAAATGACCTTGGCTCTCATCTCCCTTGTCCTTGTACTGATAATGCTTCTGCCATATATTTGCCTTGAGCATCTGTTTCTTTTGAGCATTCACTTATGATTTTATCATAGTTTTCTTCTCCCAGAAACTCTTTGGCCTTTAAATATCCAGAACTTTCTTTTACTTCTAAAGCCTTCTTTATCTTAATAAGACTTTTCTCCTTTAAGCATGGACTGAGAAGTGATATTATCCTTGAGAGAACTGAAATAAGAATTGATAAAGTGTGGAGATGGAATCAGAAGTTCACAGTTTAGACTACTGTTTTGTTATTTAGGGATATAACTTAAGTGTAGCCATATGGAGGAGATGCGCATCCATGCCCTCTTCAGGCCCGCCATCTCCCCAGCTCTCCACGTGCTCACTAGTCCAGAAACCCTCTGATTAAAAAGTTAATCTCATCCACAAACGCCTTCATAGAAACACCCAGAGTAATGATTGGCCAAGTATCGGGCACACTGTGGCCCAGTCAAATCGATCTATAAAATTAACCATCAAAGGTCTTGAATGTTGTCAAATACTTTTGCATCCGCTGAGATGGCTGTTATTTTTTCCTTTCATTCTGTTAATGGGGTGTGATGTAGTATATGATTTTCGTATGTTGATCCATCACAATCCAGGAATAAAGGCTACTTTACACTAGTCATGTTGTGTAAAGCTTTAATATGTTGTTGAATCCAGTTTGTTAGTATTTTGTTGAGGGTTATTGTACCAATATTGGTAAGGGTTATCGCTCTGTAGTTTTCTTGCAACATCTGTCTGGCTTTTATATTAGGGTAATGCTGGCCTCTTGGAATGAGTTAAGAAGTGTTACCTCCTCTTGAGTTTTTTAACTGTGA